GTCAACCCCAAAGCTTGTACAAGGGAGGAAATTATGAAGATCAGAACAGAAATCAATAAAATGGAGACTAAGAATACAATACAAAGAATCAATGAACTGAAGAGTTGGTTCTTAGAAAGAGTGAATAAAATTGACAAACCCTTACCCAACCTTGTAAAAAAAAAAAAAAAAAAGGCAAGACTCAGGTCCATGCAATTAGGAATGAAAAGGGTAAAATTACAACAGATCCTGCAGAAATGCAGAAGATCATTAATACCTACTTCAAGAACCTATACTCTAAAAAGTAAAAGAACCTGTACTCTAGAAGATGGAAAACACAGAAAAAATGGACAGATTCCTTGATACATATTACCAAAGCTGAATCGAAAGATATAGACTAATATCTAGAAAATATATGAAGGACTCAAAAAAACAGACCCCAAAATTTAAAGACCCAACCCAAAAATATGTATCTGAAATAATAGACACTTCTCAAATGAAGAAATAGAAATGGCAAATATATGAAAAGGTTCAGTATCACTGGTCATTCAAGAGATGCAAATTAAAACAATGCTGAGATTCCACCTCACACCCCCCCCCCCCAGGAAAAAAAGGCTACTATCAAGAAATCAACCAATAACAAATGCTGGCAGCACTGTGGGGGAAAAGGAAACTTTCTCCACTGTTGGGAGTGCAGACTAGTGCCACCACTGTGCAAATCAGTGTGGAGGTTCCTTAAAAAACTAAAACTAAAGGTTCAGTTCAACCCAGCTATTCCTCTTCTTGGTATCACCTTGAAAGAATTAAAATGACCACCGTGATACATGCATACCCATGTTTATACGGGCACAGTTTATAAACAAAGTGCCCATCAACTGAAGAACGGATAAATAAAATGTGGTTTTTGTATACAATGGAGTACTAATCTGCCATAAAGAAAAACTTAAGACGTTTCTATCTAAATGGATGCACCTCAAGACTATACTACTAAGTGAAATAAATCGGGACACACGTGTCTAAATACCATTGCTTCTCTGGTGCGAGAAATTGAAAAGAACCGAAATGTATAACAGATATTGTGAAATGAGAAGAAAATGTTCAAATGGGAAGGGGAAAAAGGAGGGGGGAGGGGGAAAGTAAGGGACAAGAAAAAATGAGGAACAGAAGGTAAAAATGGAAACAAAGCTTTTGTAAATAAGGAGGGGAAAAGGAGTTGAAGGGCGGAGAAGGAAATGCTAAGAAAAAGAAGTAACATGTATCATGTACAGGTACAAACTCCCATGGTGAATATTATCATTACGTGCATCTAAAATGTACCAATAAAACTGGGTGTGGTGGCATGTGTCTGTAATCCCAGCACTTGGGAGGCTGAAGCAGGAGGATCCTTGTGAGTTTGAGACTAGCCTGAGCTACAAAGTGAGCTCAAGGCCAGCCTAAACTGCATAGTGAGACGCTGTCTCAAAAAGACAAAAATAAACTGTAACAATAAAAAAACTCATGATTAAATCACTGATTTGATTTCTGAAAAAGTTTACTCACTTGACTTTAAAAGGTTGCTCAAGATTGTATAAGGGCTAAGCTTCTAAGCTAACTGGCATCAACTTGTCTTAGTTAACATTTCCCCCAACAAAAGTTAGTTTTCCTTGAAACCTGATGAGGGAAAAAAGCCCAATATTTTTTTTTTAAAGTCCAAGAATTAGAGTGGGGCGCAGGCATGGTGGTGCACATCTGTAATCCCAGCACTTGGGAGAGTGAGGCAGGAGGATCACTGTGGGTTTGAGCCCAGCATGGGCTATACAATGAGTCCAAGGCCAACCTAAGCTACATGATGAGATCCTGTCTCAAAAAAAAGAGTTTGTGTGGAATCATCAGTTTTCCGAAAACACTGTCTCCGCAAACACCTCTCAGACCCAGTATTAGTCTCAGTTTGAATCTTATGCTTGCTAATCCATCCTGCTAGAGGCTGAGGGGTTTTCTGGACTTTGTTTTGTGACAACATCTCACTATATAGTCCAGGCTGGCCGCAGACTCGCTGAGATCCTCTTGCCTTAGCCTCCCAAACGGGAGAATTACAGATGTGTGCCATCAGGCTTCACAAGGCTGAGTTTTTACTTGTTTGAAGTATGTTTCAGAACATCATCAGGACTGAGGGAAATGTATGAATGTAGCTTTATACAGCTTAGTATTACTTCTTTATTTTCTTTCTGATACCAGAAATTAAAACAAAAGGCTGCTGAGCTACATCGCCAGCCCTTTGTTTTGTTTTGATTTTGGGTGACAGGGTCTCACCAAGCTGCTCAAGTTGGCTTCAAACATGCAATTCTCCTATCTTAGCCTTCTGAGTAGTTGCTGGGATTACAATCCTGTGCCACCAGCTGGTACGTAATTTTTAAACATCAGATTACACTACCAAGCCGGGCATGGTGGCGCACACCTGTAATCTCAGCACTCGGGAGGCTGAGGCAGGAGAACTGTTGCAAGTTCAAAGCCAGCCTGGGCTACAAAGTGAGCTCAAGGCCAGCCTGACCTGCATAGCAAGACCCTGTCTCAAAAAGACAAAAAAGAAAAAAAAAAAAAGAAAAAAAGGAAAAAAAAATGAACAAAACACTACCAGTTTACATAGAAGGATGGGTCCAAGTTCTCTGGCCTGAGAAAATGTCTGTTCTGTGAAGCAGGGAAGCTAGCAGTACTCTATTTGTGTCAGGGTCCAATGACCCTGCAGAGGATACGAAGGAATTAGCCAGATACAGGTATAAGAACATCACAGAGTCTAGCGGGGACAGTGAAGGTGAAGGCAACCCTTAGGGTTTAAGTGAGGAGCTAAGAGGCTATTTGGGATAGAAATAATACACGGGCTGGTGTTATTAGTTATTGACATTGTCAATGAATCAGATTCCACAAAAGGAACAAGATTTCTAACTGGGTGCGAACTCAAACACAAAAATGCAGGATCTCATCTTGTGAATTAACCGGTACTAGGATCTAGCCTGTACAGGTTGGTTGAATCTAGTATGTTAATCTCAGCAGCAAGAATCTAAGGTGCTGGGCTGGGGATGTCACTCAGTGGCTCAATTGAGCCTGTCAATTTCAAGATCCTGAGCTCCATTCCCAGTACCAAAAAAAAAAAAACATCTAAGGTGCTTATGTAAGATTTTAATTCCATGATCATATGGATCTGGATTTTTCAAAGGTTGTCACCAATAAAAAAATAATTTTCCAATAAAAACTGTTTCATTATCAACATTTTATCCAATGATTTGTGAATATTTTATTCAATTTCAGTATTAGTATCTTTTTTAGGAAGCCAAAGCTCACATATATTTCAAGTAATGACCGTCTTAATTATTTTTCTTGCTGCTGAGACAAAATATCCAACACCCAAAGTTAAAGGAGAAAAGATTTATTTAGGTCATGGTTTGCAGAGGTTTCAGTCCATAGTCAGTTCACTCCAAGACAGAGAAGCATGGCAGGAGGGCATTACAAAGGAGAAATAATTCAGGGTGGGCAGAAAGTAGTGAAGCTACTTAAAAGGTAGGGGGAAGAAACAAGAAAAATGAAAAATAGGACGAAACAAGAAAAATGGGATGACCACAGCTCTTTCTATCCCTTGTATCTTCTCCAAGCTACTCAAGGCAGGTAGCACTCATAGCCTTAACCCTAGTGCCCTGATCCTAGCATTGCACCATGAATCAATTCCAGCATCACACACTCTGGATCCAGCCACCTCTGAAAAGCCCCACCTATGACTGCATGAGGCTTGGGGTGACATCTAAACAGAAGCCATAACAATTATTCTAACAGAAATGCTTTTAAAAAATAACTGCAAGAGCACCTCAAATTTTTATTTGGTTTAAGGACTCTCAAGTGACAGCAGACCTACCAAGTCCTGATATACTAATTATAAAGGTAATAATGCTCAAGAAAATTTGGCAACCTCAGAACACAGTTATGGAAAAAAAAGCAATGAAAAAGCATCTACAATTACCCTTTCACAGTTAACAGTATAAATGTTTTGGTACATGTTCTTATGTACCTTTGTTTCATATCAAATATAGCACATTAACCCCAGAATGTCTACATATAAAACTATTTCCTAATTAAAAATGGTGTATTTCCACAACCATACAGGCTGATAGCAGCTGACATTCTCTGAGTAAACAATAGAAACTCCCCCTTAGCACTGCAACTATACAGCACCTGACCCACCTTACAATAAAGGGTTACTAATTCTGCCTTTTCTCCCTTTGCCTTGTTTTCAAACCCTTTTTTCAGAATTCCAACTTCCAGTTCACCCCAGGGTGGTACAAGTCAGGATGTGTACTGTTGGGCCTGGTGTTACGAAGAAAGAAACAAGAGAGGGTGAGCTGCTGAGAACCGGGGATCCCTGAGGCTGCCCTTCCATCCTTACGCTATTTCCGTACCAGTGTGAGAGATGCAGTCTCTTCTTCACCTTAAGGTCCCGGCCATGCCACAACAGGAATAACCACAATCTAGGTTTTGCTAAAAGGAAGCTGATATTTACTGACCCTGAGATCTCACAGTATTAATGATTTTGACTCCTTTTCCCCCAAAGCATTTCTATGAACAAGTCTCTCTAAAGACTTATTTTTTTCCTTTTTTGCAGTAATGGTAGTGGACCCAGGGCCTTATGCAAGCTAGGCAAGCACTCCACCACCAAGCTATAGCCTCAGCTCCTCTAAGAGATTTTTAAGACTTCTATGCAACACTAACTGTTTTAAAGCCAGGATTAAAAATATTCCTGCTTTCCAATTAACCTTCAGCTCATATAATGTAAGAGGCACAGCACAGAAAACTACAGACCACAACTCAGCTGACTGCTGACTTCAGACACAGAAAAGCTTTACCATTAGAATGTAATTTTTATAAACACAAATTAAATTGGTCAGGTAAACAAGAGTTTCAACCCAGAATTCTGAAAGTTCATTGGTATCATTTTAGCATAAAAGAAAACCACTGCCTTTATTTTAAAAAAAATGGTGCTTGCAAAAATAAGAGCAAACCTTTCCACTCTGACAGTGAGGTCCTCTGCAGGTCTTTGATTTGAACATTCATTGGGTTCCTGAGAGGGAGGTGCATGGCCTGAGCTTTCTCCTCCTTATTAAAAAAAAAAAAGGGGGGGGAGAGAATACTGTATGTTATACAACTTTTTTATTTTCCAGGTTATAACATATTAATACCATTTCTCAAATATTATGTATTTCCCCTAAGAATGGAACAAAAAATAAGAAATGAGCAATTATTAATCCCCAAGTTTGTATGTGGATAAAACAGTATACAAGTGGAAAGATGGTGGGTACTCAAGTGAGGCCTAGCAAAGTAAAGGGAGGTAAAACACCAAGAGGCATCAGCCTTGTAGGAAGTGGCCATGAGTAACCTTTACTCAACAGCAGTACACAACAATATCTACACTTCCAATACATTAGCCACTCGCTACATGTAGTTACCGAGCACTTGAAATGAGGCTACTGCAGCTGAGGGGCAAAAACTTTTAACTGTACTTAACTTTAATTAAAAGAGCCACTATGGAATTGGTAGTGTTACTTCAGAAGCCATGTCTGGTTCTGAGTAAAACCCTGTAGTCTTAAGGTTGGTCCAAAAGGTCTGCTTTTCCTGACTACAGTGATTCCCAAGACAGCTTCTTTATATATACATATATAAATAAAAATAACTCTTTCAAGGATTTCCAGAGGATAGAATTACGTCCTGGCCTACCTCAGACGACATTTATGGCCTTGTAGTAGAGCCTGTCATGTTCCTCCTTACTACTTGCCACCAATCTGGTTCTTCTTTATAAGAACTTTGCAAAACTAAGGACTATGCAGCCACAAAAACTGGTTTCAAGAGCTGTCTCATTACTTCCATTAGCTATTTAAATCTCTTTGTTTCTTTTTCTTTAAAAATTAAAAAGAAAAAACTCTCTGTGCCTCATTTGCAAAATGTGAAACAACTTTAAAGTGTTGTTATGAGAAATATATTTTAAAATAAGTAAAATGCTCAGTACTTTACTGAGACTGGTACATGGCAGATGCTTTAGTTACAGCAGTAAGAAAAATAATTTGTATTACCAGGCAGAACCAACAGTACCTATCTTTTCCTGCCTCTGCATTCAGTGTCATCATCTACATAGCTTAAAATTAGCCATAGTGAGAATATTTACATCATGGGAATTAGCAAATACCAAAATTAAGGGTTTTTCCTGTAACCTCAGCACTTGCCTGTAATCCCAGCACCTGGAAGGCTGAGGCAGGAGTACCATGCAAGTTCAAGGCCAGTTTGGGCTACACAGTGGGCTTAAAGCTAGCCTGAACAACACAGCAAGACACTGTCTCAAAAAAACAAAACATATTACGGGCTTTTAGCTTCCACCGAACCTTTTGTTCAGCATTTACGGGCACATCATTACAGACAATCCTAAGTGGTGGCAACAAGTGGAAGCCACAGTGTGTTCAGTAGGAAATGAACTTTTCAATAAATATCAAAAACAATGTATCTTAAAACCAGCAACAAATTTACCAAAACTTTTCTTCATCTTTTTTTTTTTTTTTTTTGGCAGTACTGGGAACTATATGCAGGACCTCACTTGTGCTAGGCAAGGGCTCTATCACCGAGCTACATTCTCAGTTCTGAGAACTTTGGAAGATAACTTGTGAACAATCTGAGGAAAGAAAGTTCTGGATAGCAATTTAGTTGGGTGGATCTATGACCTATAATTAAAGAAATAAACGTTATTATAAAGGAAGACTTCCAATGGCATGCCTCAGAATTCTCTGTTTTCAGTATTTTTTTAATAAATGACTTGAAGATGCACAATATATATTTGTAATTGTACAGGTAACAACAAAATAGGTGTTACCCAGGACCTTTACACCATCTACATCCTTGGCTTTATTATTTTTGGAAAGAGGATCATGCGAAGTTGCTCAGACAGGACAAAAAGCTTTCAATTCTCCTGCCCTGGCCTTCCAAATGCTGGGATTACAGGCACGAGCCACCATCCCCAGCCTGAAATTGCTTATTTTTTTTTTTAAATAGCTGCCTAATAATATTATTTAACTGCCAGTTATTGAATGAAAAGTTCCAGATTGGGGGAAAAAAAAAATCAGTACGTGAAGTTAATAGGTAAAATCCCAAAGTAAGTTTACTAAGGGAATTTCTACTCTAGGCTTAAAAAACTTGATTATCAGACAGTATGCACTAACATGATGGAAATACACATTATCACCTAAACTAGTCTTGCCAAAAGTAATAAAAAGGGAACCTAAATCTGATCAAGCCTATAGATTTTACTATCAATTTAAGAGTTAGTAAAAGAACATGTACAAAAAAAAGGGGGGGCATTTACATAGTATCATGGGATGCAGCAAATTCCAGATTCTATAAAACTATAAAGTTAAAGAAGGAATTTACAAATTAAACAACTACTCAACCAATATCAACATATTGTACTAATTCAAACAAACTGGAAAGAAGTGCAATATAAACACTGCCCTACCTAACTCATGGTAACGGAATCATGGCTCAATTTTCCAGCTTTGGTAATAGAACTGTGGTTTTTTTTCTTAAGTTCTTATCTTTCAGATACTGACATTTTAAAAGATGAAATAATAAAATACCAGAGATTTGTTTCAAAATAACCTGATAGGGGGGCCAAGGATATAGCTCAGCAGCACACCTGCCTAGCAAGAGTAAGGTTCTGAGTTCGATTCCTGGTATCAAAAACAGTAACAATGATAATAATAATTTGATAGGGATGGTGTAGGCTGGTATAGTTGCCATAAAAATTGTGCAAATATTGAAAATTATTGGAGCTAGATAATGGATACATTGGGTTTATTACTCTGCTCTCTCTGCTTTTAAAAGTGCTTGCAAATGTCCACAGCAAAACGTTTCTAAAAAGGCAAATAAATATAAATGACCCTAAGAAGATCTTCTTTCACTTTAGAGCTACATATTAGTATGATGTAATGCCCAAGACTTGTTCTAAACAGGAAGTGGCGAGGAGGAGAGGGAGGGCACAAACAACTGTACTGGCCAATTGTCAATAATAGCTGAAGACACGCAACAGACTCCTGTGATTTCTCGTACTATTTTTTCTACTTTTACACATATTTATTGTTGTGGGTTTTTTTTGTTTTTTGTTTTTTTCTTCGGTACTGGGAATCGAACTCATGACCTTGCGCTTGCCAGGCAGGCACTGTGCCACTGAGCTAAATCCCCAGCCCCTTTTATACATATTTAAATATTTCTACAATAAATTAAATTTTTAAACAGCTAGAAAGAACTAAAATCAGTGCTACTTCTCACCTCAGGTAAAGCAGAGCTTTTAATTGCGTTATTATGCAAGTTACAGCCCACTAAAACAAAAACATCAACACTCTTTCCAGGAGTGTAACAGAGTCACACTCTATAGACTGGTACAGTCACTACAAGATACAATTCTAAATTTTTTTATAAAGGAGCAAAGAGAAAAATGGGATCCATTTTCAGGGAAAAAGCAATAAAAAAAGCCAACCAACCAACCCTGAAAGGAAATAGGTACTAGAGTTGTCAAATAATGACTCTCCTGTCTATCACTAAATGACACATACATAATTAGGACCCCTCTAAAATTTTATTTTATTTTTTTTGTTTGTTTGTTTGTTTGTTTGTTTATTTATTTATTTATTTATTTTTGGTTCCGGTACCGGGAATCAAACTCACAACCCTGCACTTGCCAGGCAGGCGCTGTGCCGCTGAGCTAAACCTCCAGCCCCTTAACCCAAATTTTAAGTTAAATGAATGTGATGGAAAAAAACATACAACATATTTAGTTTTGTTTCTGTACTACAGGCATTGAATCCAGGGCCTTGGACATACTAGGCAAGGGCTCCACCACTGAGCTACATCCCCAGCTCTTCACTTTTAAAAATATCAATCCATGCCCTCAGCTGGGCACAGTGGGGAGGCTGAGGAGGAAGACTGACAGTTCAAAGCCAGCCTGGGCTCCACAGTGAGCTCAAGGCCAATATGAACTACACAGTGAGACACTGTCTCAACCCTCATTCGCCCAAATAACAAAATATTAATCCATGCCCTTTAAATGAAGTGAAAAGCCAGGCATGGTGGCGCACGCCTGTAATCCCAGCACTTGGGACGCTGAGGCAGGAGGACTGTTCTGAGTTCGAGGCCAGCCTGGGCTACAAAGTGAGCTCAAGGCCAGCCTGAACTGCCAAGCAAGACCCTATCTCACAAAGACAATAAATGAATGAATGAATGAATGAATGAATGAATGAATGAAATGAAAAATATTTCCATTATATCCTAAAAGGTACACTAAAAATTACCTGTTATAGTATCTGATTTTGTATCAGCAGAGGTGAGAGGTGTGTGGCAAAGCTCTACATCCCTGGATTGAGAGTTTTCAGAAGTGTCGTTAGGTTCAAATGAGGCAGATGGAGTAGACCCTGAACTTTCGGACTGGCTGCCATTTGCCACTGATGTTTCACCTCTTAATGAGTGCATCTATGGAGAAAACAAATCATAATCTAGTAACCGTAAAGAATTTAAGTTTACAACAGCAGATGAGACCAAAATATGCATTATGTAAACTTATACAAGAGCACAAATACAACTGCCAGGTGTGGTGACGCACGCCTGTAATCCCGAAACTCGGCAGGAGGATCACTGCGAGTTCAAGACCAGCCTGGGCTACAAAGTAAGCTCAAGGCCAGCCTGAACTGCATAGGGAGACCCTGACTCAAAAAGAAAAAAAAAGAAAAACAAAACAAGAGCACAAGTACAAACTGCGCATGCATACCTATAATCACAGCACTAAGGGCCTGAGGCAGGAGGATCGCAAGCTCCAGGCCAGCCTGGACTACACACACAGACTCTATCTCAAAAACAACAAAAACCCCAAAACCCAACAAAAAAGAGAAGTACTAAACTCTCAAGTGGATGACTCTATAACATAATCCTAGCCAAGCATGGTGACCTGTGTGTAAACCCAGTACCTGGGAGGCTGAGACAGGAGGATTGTCACAAATTTGAGGCCAACCTGGACTACATAGTGAGTTCCAGGCCAGCCTGAAATATTTAATATATAGCAAGACCTGTCTCAAAACAAAAAAACATACAAAAACGCCAAAAAATATGATCTTTTTTTTTTTGTCTTTCTGAGGGAGGCTCTTGCTATGCAGTGTAGGCTGGCCTTGAGCTCATTTTGTAACCCAGGCTGGTCTCGAACTCACAACGATCATATCTCCTCCTGTCTCAGCCTCCTGAGTGTTGGAATTACAGGTGAGTGCTGGGATTACAGGCATGCGCCACCACGCCCGGCTCAAAAAATATAATCTTAAACATGACATAATCACATTTAGAATCTAACTGCATGCTAGCAAAAGCACAAAAAGTTGTTGAAGCACACTACTGATGTCCCTTCAAATTAGAACTTTGAGAAAACTTACAGGTATATACTGCCATTGTCAAAAATGCATGGACATGAGAAACTGTAAAGTTCTTTAAAAATGCTAAGCAATGTATAGCTGGAGTTTTAAGGGGATAGCAGATCTCTCCTGCAACAAAATAACTGAGATACTCATTATGTGGATGGGGTAGGAGGTAAAGAGAAAAGAAGTTCCTCAAGTATTTGGTATCATCTGTTTCTTCATAATGCTATTTCCAAAATCAATCCAGGCAGCCAGGTGTTCTAGCACATATTTGTAACATGTGTAGTCTCAGCTACTCAAGAGGACAAGAAGACTGCTTGAGCCCAGCAGTTCAAGACCATCTCAAAACAAAAACTAAAACAATGGTGTTTACTATAGTACTTTTTAAGTTTGATGCTATGTCAGGTTCCTGAATATACAGACAACCTCCAAAAATATTCCAGTGTCAAATTTTGATAGATCATCTGCCCATTCCTGGTACTAGGGACTGAATTCAGGGATTTTGCACTATACTATCAGTGCAGGGTTTTGCACTGAGCTATATCCCAGTCCTGCCCCCACACTTTATGAGACATGGTCCGGCTAAGTTTCTAAACTGCCCAGGCTAGGCTCAAACTTTTTTTTGGTCTTTTTGACATAGGGTCTCGCTATGCAGTTCAGGCTGGCCTTGAGCTCACTTTGCAGCCCAGGCTGGTCTCGAACTCACAAAGATCCTCCTGCCTCAGCCTCCTGAGTGCTGGCATTACAGGGGTGCACCACCCCGCCCAGCTGGGCTCAAATAAAACCCTCTTATCTTAGCCTCCCAGAGTGCTGGGATTACAGTTGTGTACCACCACACGCAACTTCATTCTCCTTTATTTATGCAAGTAACAGTTCTATTCTTACCTGTCGGACTTTGTGAATTCTCATAACAAGTTCATCTGCAGAAATACTTCCTGCTATTACTTCCAAAGGGATACCACTGTCTCCAATAAAGAAACTGGAGGGAACACACACTACCGGATCTGTACCGTTCAATTAAGTCTAACAATTAATGTGAAACAAAGTATAATTAAAAAAAAAAAAAAACCTATTGATAACAAAGCAAAACAAATTATCTTTGTGAATTTCATAATGTAATTTACCAAGATTATAAACAATTTCAATCACTACAGCATTATGCTCATGGCTAGTGTGTACAGTATGTAAGAGAATGGTAACATTACAAGTATTTGTACAACCTATGTGTGTGATGACCATATACTACATTCTTCTCTATCCTAACTTTCTACCAACTGCTTGTCAGCTATTTCTAACACTTCAACAAAATTGCTCCACATAGCTTTTCAGGCAGTTTCATTTAAAAAAATAAAACAGAACTCTTCTGTTTTCTTTTTCTTTTTTTTTGTCTTTCTGGGACAGGGTCTCGCTATGCAGTTCAGGATGGCCTTGAATGCACTTTGTAGCCAAGGCTGGTCTCAATCTTGCAACAATCCTCCTGCCTCAGCCTCCCAAGTGCTGGGATTATAGGCGTGTGCCACCAGGCTGGCTAAAAATCTTCTACTGTCCTATTAAGCTACAATATATTTTCTCAAAGGACGCTTTGTAATGTGAAGTTTGTACAAAAAAGAATGCAAGCTTTCCCTAAGACAAATAACTACAAAAAAAGAACAATTACTAATTTAATAACCAAAAGAAAGGTAAAAATACAGCATCTCTACATTTAAACAAATTATTTTCTGAAAGGATACAGATTTGTGAAAACTGTAGGCAGGCTTCACTGTAAAACAAAATTGAAAAGAAAATTACTAGATGAATGCTCTATTTTCCAAATATTGAGTTGTTTTAACAAAATTTATTGTACCAATCACAAGTATTTTTTGAAATTACCAGTTCCTGTCTCACAATCAGTTGCAAGGACAAAAGTATAATTTTTCATAAGACATGAGGGGGGGCTTTTATAATTTTCAGAAAAAGAATCGGTTTTTTTGAGACAGTGTCTCCCTGTGCAGTTGAGGCCGGTCTCAAACTTGCAAGGATCATCCTGCCTCAGCCTCCCGATTGCTGGAAATGCTGGGATTATAGGCAGGAGTGCACCACCATGTCTGGCTTACCATTTATTGTTATAATCCACGAAGTAGTGGCTGGATGTGGCAGCTAAAATAAGAGTATCAGCAACTACACCTAATGCAAAGTCTTAAAACTGTAAGAAGACACAATGACTGTTACTTACCTCGTGCATGTAATAATATAATACCCTATAACAAACGATTCCAAAAAAACTAAATATCCACCAATATTCATACAATCATAAAAAACAGTACAGAAAAGTATGCCAAATGCTACTATTGCCAGGCGTGGTGGCCCACGCCTGTAATCCCAGCACTCGGGAGGCTGAGGCAGGAGGATCGTTGCGAGTTCAAGACCCACCTGGGCTACAAAGTGAGCTCAAGTCCAGCCTGAACTGCATAGCGAGACCCTGTCTCACAAAGACAAAAATAAATAAATAAATAAATAAATAAATAATTCTGAAATTCTCGTCTTTCACATTCCAAATAAACCTCTACATTTATTCTTCCTGCATTAATGACTCTCCAAAGTGCTTGTAGAAGGTAATACACAATATGTATAAAGTAAAATGACTTATAACTACACGGTCAGGGTTGTAGTCCACTGATAGCACTTGCCCAGCATGTGCAAGGCCCTAGATTCAAACACCAGTCCTAACAAACAATAACAGAGCCAAAGTGGCAGTACATGCCTGTACTGCCAGCACTGAGAGAATGAGGCAAAACTGAGAGTTCAATGCCCGTTTAGACTATATGGCAGGTTTGAGACTAGCCAGGACTACATACACTGCAAGCCCTGCTTCAAAAAAACCCAACAGGGGCTGGGGATTTAGCTCAGCGGCACAGCGCCTGCCTGGCAAGCACAAGGTCGTGAGTTCAATTCCTGGTACCGGAAAAAAACAAAACAAAACAAACAAACAAAAAAAACCCCAACATACGCTGGGCATGGTGGCGCATGCCAGTAATCCCAGCACTTTGGAGGCTGAGGCAGGAGGATTGCTGCAACTTCGAGACCAGCCTGGGCTACAAAGTGAGCTCAAGGCCAGCCTGAACTACACAGCAAGACCCTGTCTCAAAAAGACAAAGAAACAAAAACAAAACATAAAAACCCAACATATGCATGCAAAACAATAAGAACTCACTTCTTGATAAATATGTAGTTCAAAAACTGTTGTGGTAAAACATGTTATTCTATGGCTTGCTCTGTATTTCTGTTAATACAGTATTTATATTTGCTTACCTTTTTTTTTGGTACCAGGAATCAAACTCAAGACCTTGTGCTTACTTGTGCTTGCCAGGCTTGCTTACTTATTTAGTACTGGGGGATATTTCTATTTATGTACCCAGGGTCTTTGAACTTAGCTAAATCCCTAACCCTTTTTAAAAATTTTTTTAGGGGCCAGGGATATAGTTCAGTGGCACAGCACCTGACTGGCAAGTGCAAGGTCCTGAGTTCGATTCCTGATACCAAAAAGAAAAAAAAATTAAAATTTCTTGAGACAGGGCTCAGTCACTAAATTGCCCAAGTTGGGGTCAAATTTGTAGTCCTCTGATCTCCCAAAGTGCTAGGATTTAGGTGTGTACCACCACACCTAGCTTAATGTGAAAAAGTTCTAAATAAAACTGTTGCTTACAGGTAAATTTCTTAATATTTTGATGTTGACAACGACTTTCAAACATTCTTCATTCTGGTACTATCAATATCAAGGACAGGAATATTCCGCGATTGCTAATGAGTTAATGTTTTTAGGCATTAATCATCAATGCCTGCTACCATCATAAACAGACACAAATATTACAGCCTCTGATGGAAGATATAAGGTGATGGTGGCAGGGGAGAGGGGATCAAACCTGAACCAATCTATCCATTTATAGGAAATAAGAGGACAGAAGAATAAACTAACTGATACTAACATAGCTACAATCAACAAATCCCGGCCACAGGAAACTGAAGAGCAAACACACAGAACAAATGATTTCAGAGATCACAATTGGCAGTATAGTACTTGATGTATCCTGAACCAAAAGACTAATTAGTAAAACTATGACTCTGCTAAGACAATTGAAAATTTGAACACTAGCTGACTAATGATATTAAAGACCTATATTAATTTATTTTTGAAGCACTGCAATTAAGTTAAAAACTTAACTTTTTTTTTTGGTACCAGCAATTGAACTCATGACCTTGTGGCTTGCCAGGCAGGCGCTTGCGCCACTGAGCTATATCCCTGGCCTAAGCTTTTTTTTTTTTGAGACAGGATCTTGCAATGCACTTCAGGCTGACCTTGAACTCTCTATGAAGTCTAGGTGGGCTCTGAACTCAAAGCAACACTCCTGCCTCAGGCTCCTGAGCGCTGTTATTACAAGATTGCACTCCTATGCCCAGCAAAAAAACCTTAATCTCTATCCTTCAGCAACACACAGAAATATTTATGGATGAAGTGGTGTGATGATTTGTTTCAAAATTACATGGCACGCTGACAAACACATCTGTAATCCCAGGACTCAGGAGGCTGAGGTAGGAAGACTGCTACAAGTTCAAGGCCAGGGTGAGCTACATAGTGAGATCAAAACCAGCCTGAACAACAGAACAACAGTGAGAGAGAGAGAAAAGGAGGGAGGGAGGAAAAAGAAAGGGAGAGAGGGAAGAAGAAAGGAGGGAAGGAAGAAAAGAGGGAAGGAAGGAGGGAAGGAAGGACGGAAGGACGGACCAAAACCACCACCATCCCTAAGAAAGAAAAAAAAAAAAAGAATCCAAAAGAGTGAACAGATCACTCAAGTTCAGAAGTATTCAACATAATTCAATGTTTTTAGTTATCACCAAGTTCTTAGAAACTGGAGTCCACAGCTCTTTTTGCATTTCTAGTACATACAAATGGTTGCTTGGTAGTCTGTAAAAACTTGCAAATTTTTCAGCAAAATACTTTTCAGTATGTCTTAGATATCTACAAACATAACCAACATTCTTGCAGTCCAAGAGTATCACCACAAATCACAACCAACGACCATAAATGATAGAACAAAAAAAGTAATGAAACAGTTAAAAGATAAGCAAACCTTCTGGTATCAATTTTAATAGCAACAAAGCTATTTGAAGATGCTTCGGTCACTTTCTCATCTTCCCAACTTGCAGCCATCTGTGTAGACTGTTCATCATCACCTGTAAAACATTTCGAAGATTATTACAGCACAAAGCCAGGATTTGCTGATTACATTCTTTTCCCTAGAAAACTCAAACTTCAAATAAAGTATAATCCCATGAACACTGTGTTCTACCAAATTTGAAAACTGATCTTTCCAGGGCTAGGAATGTGGCTCAGTGGTAGAAAGCTTCCCTAACATATACAACACCTTGTGTTAGACACCCCGCCCCCAGCACCTCAGGAGGGAAAAAGAAAAACCAATTTTTTCCATAAAATTCGACATGTGACTATATACTCTGTTCACACAATAAAGAGGAATGAAAAAAAAATACTGCAATATTATGGTACCACGTATTTTTCTAAAAGACATCCAAGTTGTAATTCCAGTAGCATTACATGAATGAATCATGGAGCCGGGTGTGGTGGCACACACCTGTAATCCCAGCACTTGGGAAGCCGGGCAGGGGCATCATTTCGAGTTCAAGGCCAGCCTGGGCTACAAAGTGACCTCAAGGCCAACCTGAACTGCACAATGAGACCCTGTCTCAAGAAAGACAGAAAAACAATAAATCATGGGTAGAAATGTACAGTACCTATTTCGGCAACTATACATAGACTTTACAAAATAAAAGTGCAGGGGCTGGGGATTTAGCTCAGCGGCACAGCACCTGCCTGGCAAGTGTGAGGTCATGAGTTCGATCCCAGCACCAGAAAAGAAAATAACAATTAAAAATAAATAAATAAAGTGCAATACTTTCTTCATGTACCACCTCTCTGTTGTGTTCAACATCTCTGTACCACAGCATTTAATCTCCAGAATTCCTTCAAGCTACAGAGGTAAGTTCAATTCTGTTTGTAATTTAGGATTTGCCTTTACCACAGGTATGCTAATTGTAAAAGTTGTACTTATCTAAAACTACGCTCCTAAGGAGAGAGGTAAAAGACTGCAAAAGAGAAGGGACCAAAGAGCAACACTGAAGACTGGAAATGTTCTATTATTTTGATCTAGATGACAGATACACAGATTTCACCAAGCTGTTCACTTAATATATATGCTATATCAAAAAAAAAAAAAAAAAAAAGATTTTAGGGGGCTGGGGATTTAGCTCAGTGGTACAGCACCTGCCTGGCAAGCACGAGGTTGTGAGTTTGATTCCCGGTACTGCAAATAAATAAATAAATAAATAAAAGATTGGAAAAGTTGTACCTATCAAAAAAAAAAGCTGTATCTACCAAAAGATTGCTTTAAGTTTACACCCATGTCTAGATTCTCATAACTGCTGCCCATTTACTGGTGGACAGAGGGCAACTTAAGTCACTGAAAAGAATTTCTAAGATTAGCAGAGCTAAGTGCTTTTTCAAAGATGAGTAACCTTTGTCAATTTAGAAAGTGTTTAAAAATGTTCTTAGAACGGGTTTATTTTACAAAAGTGAGGTCATTATTTACGGACTGTTACTTTCTTCCTTAGTTAAGCCAAGTGTAATGGTGAGTGCCTATAGTCCTACCTATAGGCTAGGTAACTTGCACAAAAATTTAAGGGAATTTCTTTCATTTCCTCAAAGTAAAGCTGAAGTCCAAGTCTTTGTAGCAGTCTTCTGGGTCGTACACATCAGGCTTCCAACTGCCTCTCTGAACGCATTTCCTTATACAATACAGTACTGCAATTCCTTACTATTCTTCGGATGGGAAAGAAACTCCAGCTTTATGCCTTGGTACTAGTTTCCTGTGCTTCAAATGTTCTTCCTCCAGCCGGGCATGGTGGCGCATGCCTGTAATCCCAGCACTCAGGAGGCTGAGGCAGGAGGATCCTTGCAAGTTCGACGCCAGCCTGGGCTACAAAGTGAGCTCAAGGCCAGCCTGAACTGCATAGACCCTGTCTTAAAAATACAAAAAAAAGGGGAGCAGTTAATGTTTAATTGTTTGATCAATCTTACATGCCTACAACTGGTTTTCTGAGGAACTACTTTAAAGATAACAATTTGTAATACAAACTGTTGTTCATTTCCTATCACCTTGTTTTGAAATTCTGTATCATTTTTGTTTCTGTGCTATTTTGTTTGTCTTTGTTTTTATTTTCTCTCTCTCTTTTTTTTTTTTTTTTTTTTTGGTTTTTTTTTTCGGTACTGGGAATTGAACTCATGACCTTGCACTTGCCAGACAGGCACTGTGCCGCTGAGCTGTATTATATCCCTGGCCCCTTTATTTTTATTTTAAAGAGAATATAAGGGCTGGAGATTTAGCTAAGTGGCACAGCACCTGCCTGGCAAGCACAAGGTCATGAGTTCAATTCCCGGTATCAAAAAATAAAAAAGTAAAATTATACTTTTCAGACACTCCCAAAGTTCCCGTATCTCTTGGACTCTCTCTTTTTTGTTTTTAGTCTTTTTGAGACAGGGTCTCATTAGGCAGTTCAGGCTGGCCTTGAGCTCACTTTGTAGCCCAGGTTGGCCTCACACTCACAATGATCCTCCTGCCTCAGCCTCCCTAGTGCTGCAATTACAGGCATGCGCCACCAAGCCTGGGTCTGGACTCTTTCTCCTGCATTACTTAATACTTTCTAACATATTATGTGTTTTAATTATGTTTATTTTTTTCTTTCTCCCCCAGTCAGAAAGACTGTTCCATGATGGCAAGGACTGTTTTCCATGTTACCAAAAGACAACTAGAGACAAAGTCCCTATAAAAGAACCAGGAATACAGTAAGTACTTAGCACAGTGTATGCACTCTTTAAGTATTCTGTGGAATGAACAGCTAAAAGTCAGGTACAGGGTATCATGTATCTTGGCCTGCCTATAATATCTGAATCTAATGCTGTGAATTTGAATATATTTCGTATGAGATGAGATGCAGGAATACCAGTGATATAAGTCTGAGAAAGCCGGCCATGCAGTAGAATGCATCCACAGACTGAGAATGCCCCTTTTAGCAGACTCCCAGATGCTCAGATGCAGAGTGAAGGAAGATTACCATTTGCTAGTGAGAGAATTCTGAAGAAGAGATGATGAAATTCCAAGTAAATGATTCAATAATCAACCTGGAAAATAGCTATATGGGAACATCCTTATGATATACACTGTGAATCCTTTTCACTTCTTCTTTCATATATTCACTATTTCACAGTTTTGTTTTAGGCACTGGGCTACATGCTAAATATAAAACAAATCAAAGGGGCCGAGGATATAGCTCAGCCGCATGAACACCTGTCCGCCAAGTGCAAGGTCCAGAGTTTGATTCCCAGTACCAAATAAATACATAAATAAATAAAACAAATCAAACATCACCCTTCACAAAGCTTAAAATCTAATGGTACAAAAAAATTTTAGAACCGGGCATGGTGGTGCACACCTGTAATCTCAGCACTCCAGAGGCTGAGACAGGAGGATCATGGTGAGTTCGAGGCTAACCTGGGTTACAAAGTAAGCTCAAGCCCAGCCTGAACTGTGTAGGGAGACCCTGTCTCAAAAAGACCAAAAAAAAAAAAAAAGATTTAAACAGGTAAGACAATTATAAACATGTAGTAATAAAGAGAAAGTAGTAAGAAAAATCTGTCCTGGCATGGTGGTGCACACCTGTAATCCCAGTACTCAGGAGACTGAAGTAGGAGGATTGTTCTGAGTTTGAGACCAGCCTGGGCTACAAAGTGAGCCGAAGGCCAGCCTGAACTGCATAGACCTTGTCTCAAAAAAGGCAAAAAGAAAAATCTCTAACACTCAGGAAGCCTTCTCTGAGGTGACAGTTATGGTAAGATCTAAAGAATAAAAGGACTAAGCCATGCCAAGCACCAGAAAAGTTCACCAACAGAAGAAACACATGCATATGGAAAGGGCTGTGAGACTAGAAATGCCATGAACAATAGGGAGCAATCAGAGAAACCTAAGAATTAAAAAGGCAAAGATGACGTCCACATTTATGGTTTATACAACTAGATACACAGCAGCACTGCTTATTTAGAAATACAACACAGGAAGAAGAACATGCTTAGCCAAAAAATATACTTTTAGGCTTGAGAATCAATCCTGGCTTTGCTTCTTGGGAGATTGGTGTTTTCACTCCCTCACATGTGGCCGGAATTCCAAACCACATCTTTGCTGCCAGTGTCTGTCCATGACTCAGCCTTGTGACAGCAGCAGCTGCTTTGCCAGCGGAGTAGAAAGCTGAATGGAATTCTCAACTCAGCGTGTTTGCTGAACACATTCACAACAGGGCTGTAATTCACACTTCTTGCTGCCAGGAGGCTCTGACCTGAACATGCTATGTTCCTGCTGGCTTAAGCTACCAGTGGTACATGCTTGACTGTTCCATTGGGCGGAATGGGACAATCATGCATGTAGCGACCAGTGAATACTTACTACCCAGCAAAATTATTAATTAAGAAATTGAGAATCTTTACTTTAAATTAAATTAAAAAGGGCTGGGGATATAGCTTAGCGGTACAGTGCCTGCCTGGCAAGCATGAACTCATGAGTTCGATTCTTGGTACCAAAAAATATTAAATTAAATTTTTAAGAATAAATTAAAATTAAAATTCTCAGCCACCCAATCAAGTTGAATACTTCTAAAACTTCAAGCAAAATACTGTACTTTGGCGGTATCAGCAATATTCAAAGTGAAAGCACTTGGTATCAGCAGTGTCCAAAGCATAGACAATTAAAGAGCACAAAATCTTGAAGCAGACTCACACCCTCATACAGCCAGCCCACCTAACCTAAAAAAGATCTCAGCTGCTCAAACTTAATGGTTTCATGTTTTGTATCAACCAAAAAAGGCAGTAAAGTGATATCTGACATTAACAAATTTCAGTCAGGTTCACAGTACCAATCAGTGGACAGAGACCTTTGCTTTAGGCTCTTGGCCAGATTATTCCACTAAAATCAAATCATTTTGTTTTAGTTCTTTCAATTTAGACAATTACAATAGAAAGTAACTGGAAGCAATCCCTAACATCAATTCTACAATATTATTTAATTCACCTATGAAAAATCTCATTAAATAAAGCCAAGTGGCATGTGTCTATA